CCGGGAGGCTGGGAGTTGCGCACACACAGGCATCCATGTATGACACACATGCAGACACCCATGGCACACCCCACACGTGTGTGCGTGCACAGCACCGCAGCCAAGTCTGTCCTGGGCCGGCGGCCAGATGATGTGGCTGCTTGGAGAAGCTGCGATTTGCCGAAGAATGTGCTCTCTGCCCGCCTGGCTTCCCCAGCACCGTGGCCCAGCCCCGCCCTCCGCGGGCTCCTTCTCTGCCTCATCCCGGGTCCCTAGGAGCTGGTCAGCCTGGAGAGGCCCCCGCTGTGAAATGCTTGCAACTCAAGTCTGCAGCCCAGCCCCCCAGAGGCCCTCCCGCCACAGTGCCCAGCCCACAGAGGGCTTCCACTGGCTGCCCTCAGCTTCTCTGGGTGGGAAGTGCCTCTGAAGTCTAACCTCAGTCCCTTAGCATTGGGATGTGAGCAGAGGAGCCCACAAGCAGCGGGCAGTGGAGCCCATTTGCAGCAGAAGTGGAGCTGGAAAGTGAGGGCTTGGGGGATCCCGGACCCCACCCTTGTTTTTCCTCTCTGGCTGCAGCGTCCTGTCTCAGAGAGAACTCGAGGATAGGGTGGGAGTGGGCTGCAGAGAGGGCGAGGAAGTCTTGGGGACAGGAGCTCCAGAGGCAGGGGACAGGTGGCAGGGGGACTGTCAAGACCCTTGACCTGGGCTTAGCTCAGCCCTGGCGAGTCAGTGACTCAGCTCCATCTGCTCCCACTGCCCCCTCCCCTCTCCCACAACCTTCCCCCTGACTCTCCCCACCCCTCCTCTTGGAGGTGTCTCCCTCTCTACCTCTGGCTGCACCCCGGAAACCTACACTTTGGAAGGATAATGGCTCCCAAGGGCCGTTTTTGTCTCTGCTAAGCCTTGGAGAAGGGGAGAATTAGCCGACCTGCTCATTAGGATAATAAGCTCGGCCTCCCCCGTGGTGGTGCAGCGGGTTGAGCGCAGTGCTGTGAAGCTGTCCGCAGCCTCTGCAGCGCGGGTTCGATTCCCAGCTGGCCAGGGAGAGACCCACATGGCGCAGGAGAGACCCCTCTCCTGCCTCGCCAGCTGCTACCCTCAGCAGTGTCTTCGGTCCTTCTGCCTGTTCTGCTCTTCACTGTGTCTCTGGTGAATCCTCTCACCCTCCCACGCCTCTGGCCTGTACCCCAGTTCTTGTATAAATAAAAATAAATCTTAAAAAAAAAAGATAAGCTCCCTGCATGGTTAACTGGCAACTTCCCACCTCCTTTTACCCTGGACCACGAGAAATGGCAGCTTAGATCTGGGGTTAACTCCAGAAGCCATCTCCCCCAACCCCTACACCCATCAATCAAGAATAAGTGAGGGGCTTGTGGGCTGGGAAGAAGATTCAGACCCTGGTTCTATGGCCAGGAATTCCTTTTGGGAACCGACCTGCATCCTCCTCCTCTTGGAAGGTGAACTGTAAGCCAAGCACTCCTTGCTGCATGCCTGTAGGAGCTCCCCCATCCCTAGGGAGTCATTTACTCAATGTGTGTGTGTGTGCATGCTTTTGTGGGGCTGAAAGCATAACAGGTGTATTCCCCAAACCACACAGCCAGTGCAGAGGGGGAGCTCAGACAGCTTGCAACAAACCCTCCTGGAATTGTTATAGAGCAGCCCCGATATTAGGGACATCCTTTTCCCCCCTAACAGAATGACCAAGGATTATGAAAATTCACTCCCAACGTCTGGAGAGAAATCTGGCCCCCGACTCCAGGAGGCCCCTGACCAGCTCTGTTCAGTGACAACAGAAGCAGTGTTTAGTTGGATCAGAGCACCCTGGGGGAATGAATGCTGAATCAGAACTAAGGCAGCGCCCCTGTGGCCCGCTGGAACATGAAGACATGTACACATTTCTTCAAGGGACCATGGCCAAGGGCCACTGAGAGGCCCAGAGAAAAGGTCTGATGGGGATGAGCAGCTCAGTTTCCATTCAGTCAAAGTGAAGATGGGGTCAGGTCTGTGTGTGCTTCCACAGATCCTCAGTGCCCGATCCACGAGGGTGTAAAACACACAAACACACACACACCACGATATGGAAGTCTATTCTGAGAAGCTCCTGAGTCTGGAGAGGCACACTTCCTTGCACACACGCACCCCATTAACTTTGGAAACAGCCCACTTACTCCAGCTCTGGGCATGGGATGGTCAGTGGCTCAAAAGTCCTCCCTAGGAGCTTGCTGGTCATCTGGATTACTCCACTCCTGGTGTTTTGCAAGGAGTAAGAATCAGCCTTGGGGAGGTGAATCAAGCTCCCCCACTTTTTTGCTTTTCAAAGGACAGTTTTTTCTGGCCTAGCTGCCATCAAGGTTTTAAAAGGCCTCCAGGCCTCCAGAACACCCCATTACAGCAATGCTCGGGCCTTCCTGTCTGGGAAGTGCTTTTCACCTGCATTATCTCCACACTCACAAACACCCAGGGAGCTTGATTAGCTGGGAATGGCTTTTTTAGGCTCTCTGCTATGATTTTTAAAATGTTAAAAGCACTGAAGATGACTCAAGGTGTTTCCATAATCAGAAATCAAAGCGGAGGAAAAGTCTTTTAAAATCAGAATAGAGTGAGAATGGAACAAAGCCCAACATACTCACACACACTGGAAGGTGGGTAAGTCCAGGGGAGGGTGGGGGCACACGAGGTGGCTTCTGTGTGGAAAGAGGGGAGCAGCCAGCAGTGGGAGAATGGAGAGGGACGTCAAGCTGCATTCAAGGATGAGGTAGTGCTCACCAGCCAACAACTGGCCAGACATTCAGAGGTGATCCAGGCCTGCGTGTCTCCTCCAACAGACACCATTATCAGTACCTTTAATCATCAGAAAATCTTATGACAGTTATTGGGAGCAAAAGGATCCCAAATGCCTAGAATGTAGAATGTTAAGAACAAGGCAAAATGTGTTCACATAGAAATAAGAATGGTTGATTGACTATTCAGAAGACATGAGCACCATTTTCTCAATATCGCCAGTGTTCTTGTCATTGCTTCAAATAAAAGAACCTGTTTTTTTGCTCCCCCACAAGGACATTACAAATAAAATACAGTTTAGAAAGAGAAAAAAAAAAGAACTAAGAATTGTGAATAAGTGAGTCATTCTTGGCTGGGAATGACTGGCAGGAGGGAGGCATAGACAATGCTCCCTGATGGCCTTCCTGGCACCCCCCCATCCTTTCCTAACAGAACACCCTTAAAGTGTAAAGGGGGAAGTAAAGGAGGAAGACTTGGGGCCTCCCTGATGGCTTAAGGATTAAGTCTCAGAGTTACCACCTGAGTTTGATCCCTGGCCAAGGAGCTAACCCATATATGGCAGACCTCCCGTCTTGCCTGCTGCTCCCCTGAACAGTGTATTTTAGTAAAGCCATCTCTCCTGCTCCCCACTCTGTCTCTGGTGAATCTTCTCACCTCTTCCCTCCCCCCCTGCACCTCTGTCCTACACCCCAGCTCTTTTATGCATAAATAAATAAATCTTTGAAAAAAAAGAAAAGGGGGGAAGACTTGCATCAGGAGTGGAAATGAATCATCCCCACCCTGGAAACTGCAGGGCTTTATGCAAGGCTGCCCCTGAGGGGCAAAACAGGAGCCTTGAGAGAAGGTGGGCTGCCACGCCAAGGACAGGGGTCCCCAGTCGGGATAAAGCAGAGAAGGCTCCTGTAAGGTTGGTGCAGGGGGCCTGGTGAGGGCCCCAGGCCACAGGCACAAGGAGGGGCCTTGAAACTGCAGAGAGAATCCCACCTTCGCCTCAGCTCCTGGAACGGGAGGCCTCCACCTGACACAAACAGGACCTGATAGCAATCAACCAGAAAGTGCCAAAAAACAACAACTTCGGTCTGCAACCCAGTTTCCCGCCTAACCATTCCTCACCCTAGAAAAGAAAAGGACATCTCTCCCTGACAATGGGCGAGACTTCTCCCACCCCTGTGGGGGTCACAAACCTCGCCCGAGGGCGCAATAAATTTCCTGCCTGTGAGAAACATAGCCTGGCTCTCCTTTCTTTTCTTTACTGAGCCAATCCTTTCAGCTCCTTAACAGGTCGCTCAGGGGACCCCCAGGAATGTTGGGGCAAGGGTGCACCCTGAAGCTTCCCTGCCTCAGCACACCTGCAACTCCCAGACCACCCACGTGCACTCCTGATCAGCTACCCTGGAACCCTGAGCAGTCCCTGTTCCACGAAGCAGAAAAGCAGGCCTCCCTCCTGCCCGGGAGCCCCCAAACCTGTTATGAACTTTTTCTGCCAAGGTGATGTCTTCCTGAGAATTGAAAAATAATAGATCTTGGGCCTCCCCGGTGGCGCAGCGGTTGAGTGCTGGGTTGCGAAGCCGCCTGCGGCCTCAGCGGCGCCGGTTCGATCCCCGGCTGCTCCCCGGCCACCAGAGGAGGGTCCCACATGGCGCGCAGACCTCTCCTGCCGCCCGCTGCTCCCCTCAGCAGTGTACTTCGGTCCTTCTGCCTGCTCTGCTCCCAGCTCTGGCTCTGGTGAATTCTCTCACCCTCCCGCGCTTCTGACTGTACCCAGTGCATGTATGAACAAAAAAACAAACAAACAAACAAATAAATAAATAAAACATGCCTCTATAAAATTAAAAAAAAAAAAAACACAATAAAAAAAAAAAAAAGAAAAATAATAGATCTCCTTTTCTTTTTTTTTTTTTATTTATTTATTTATTTTTTTTATAGAGGCATGCTTTATTTATTTGTTTGCTGGTTGGTTTGTTTGTTTGTTTTTTTTGTTTATACATGCACTGGGCACAGTCAGAAGCGCGGGAGGGTGAGAGAATTCACCAGAGCCAGAGCGGGGAGCAGAGCAGGCAGAAGGACCGAAGTACACTGCTGAGGGGAGCAGCGGGCGGCAGGAGAGGTCTGCACGCCATGTGGGACCCTCCTCCGGTGGCCAGGGAGCAGCCGGGGATCGAACCGGCGCCGCAGAGGCCGCGCAGTTTCGCAACCCAGCGCTCAACCGCTGCGCCACCAGGGAGGCCCTAGATCTCCTTTTCTAAAAATTCACCACGGAGGTGGCACTGAGTGTCCCAGCCGTGGCTGCTCGGCTCCCGCTGTCTCCCCTGGGCCGTGACTTCTGAGGAGATCATCCCCTGCCGCGGGCTCTGCCAATTTTCTTCAGTCCTTTGGTTAGAACCTGAATGACTTAGTGTTGTGAAATGGGCCAAAAATCACAGCTACAAAGTGGTGGCAGCAGGCTCCAGGCCACTAGGTCACTGCAGTGACCATCCCCGGGAAATAGTGTTTGGGTTCCAGGATGAAGATAATCCTTTTTCTGGCTTCTATTGTGGGGAATACCTGAAATTCATTCTGCTTCTTTAGAATTTTTTCTCTAACAACTCTTAGGTTAAAAAAAAAAAAAAAATATTAGTTAACAGTGTCGGAGAGATTAAGCACAATCAGTATCCGAGCAAGGTCTGCTGGTGAACAGCTCACCCCAGCAGTGCTGCGCCATGGAGAGGCTGGCAGCTCTCCATACAGTCCTACGGGAACTTTGTTGTTGTTTTTAATATTTTATTTATTTTTGCAAAGACCTGAGGTGTAGACCAGAGGTTCGGGGGTTGCTGGTGGCGGTGAGAAGATTCACCAGAGACAGAGTGGGGAGCAACAGGCAGATCTACTGAAATACACTGCTGAGAGGAGCAGTGGGTGAGACAGAAGAGGTCTGTTGTGCCACCTGTGGGTCAGCTCCCTGGTGGGGATCTAACTCAGTTGGTAGGGTTGCGGTGTGAGGTCCCGGCAGTAGCTCTGAGACTTAAGCCCTGGGTCACCAGGGAGGGCCTGGAACTTGTTTTGAAGTTAGGGAGGACATTGGCTCAGTTTCAGCCCTGCCTCCTCTGTCACACCTGGACCTAGTTACTGGTTTGTTACACACTGCCCAGTGAGAAGGGGTCTGGGCTGAAGGTTCTGAGCTCACTGGTGTGAGGTGCAGCCTAGCACTGGCTTATGTTCAAAGATCCCAGAAGCTCTCTAATTTATAGAGCCCAGCCCACCCCACTGCTCTGGGGGAACTGTCTTGGCCCCAGAGTTAACAGCACTGCAAGACAGCCAGTGGCAGGCTCCTGGGCTTCTGACATGTTCAAAGGGCAGGCTTGGGGGTACAGGCCCTTCTCTCCCAACTGCTCTCCTGTCCAGCTTATAAGGCGAACATGAGTGCAGCTTTTCTGCCTGGCCACCTTGTTCCTCAACCCCGTTTTCAGCTGGGAAGCTTAGCCCGGAGGTTTGGGGTTCTTGAGCCTTCTTTGAAATCCTCCAGGGGTGGGGAACTGGCCAGGCCTTTAGAGCCCAATAATTACTTTAGAGAGAGGGAGAGCCTGGGCAAAGACCTATTTTTTTTTTTAAATGGCCCTCATGCCCAGTTTCCAGGGAAGCTTGGACACCTCAGTTCCTTTAGAAGTGGTGGCGCAGGCGGTTGACCGCTGCGCTGTGAAGCTGTTCACAGCCTCTGCAGTGCTGGCTCGATCCCAGCCGGCCGGCGAGAATCCCACATGGTGCAGCAGACCTCTCCTGCCTCGCCCGCTGCTCCCCTCAACAGTGTATTTCAGTCAGTCTGCCTATTCTGTTCCCCACTCTGTCTCTGGTGAATCCTCTCACCCTCCCGCACATCTGGCCTGTACCCCGGTTCTTGTATAAATAAATCTTTAAAAAAAAAAAAACAGTGGGAGCCCAGACCAGGAGCAGCTGGTTGACATCTGGAGCCCAGTGAGATGGGGCAGTGGGGGTAAGGGAGCAGAGTCTGCTGGGAGGGGACCAGGGACTGAGAAGTGCAGGGCTCTGGACAAGTGGAGTTCCCCTGGCTGTAGGGCTTAGCAGAAGCTGAGCCTGTTGCACCCCTTCTCCTGAGGTTGAGGGGGATTCTGGAGGATGGAGGAGCGCCATCTATGGGTGGTGGCAAGGCATTAACCAGAAAACCTGAGAATTGACAGCTGCTCAGTTCCCCTGGCTATGAATGAAGGTGCTCCCTTGGAGCAGGGGTCCTGGGTGAGTGTGTAGCATGGGAGAGGGGTGTTCTGTGACCTGCAGGCTGTCCTCAATGGAGACAGTACCCTTTCCTGGCACCCCTCTGCCTCTGCCGCGTCATGTGCACAGCTTACCAGCCGCTGCCTCCTGGCTGTGGCCATTAGTGAGTACTGGTGCTCTCCCAAGGTGAGGGTTGAAGGCAGTGCTGTCCTGGTCCCTCTTCACCTATGGGGTCATTAGAGCAAGCCACGGTGCAGACTGCAGATGGACATGGGGTCATCTGTGCTGCCTGAGGTCACTTCCCCGCGGTGCTGAGCTCTAGGACGCCATGCCTGCAACAGAGGGCTGGCACCAGGAGTCTGAGTTCAGTTCATGGGCCCTTCCCAACCCAGTTTCTAGGGTGTCTGTCATCCACAATCTCCCTGCATCTGTCCCTCTGTAAACTCCCCTTCCCCACATCACTCCTTCCTTCGGCAGGAGACACGTGGTAAAGCTATTCTGCTCTCCCTCACCTTATCTGCCACATGCATGTGATGCAGTAGCGAAAAGGGGGCCGCCTACACCTCTGTTTCCCCAGTATGCCCAGCTGACCCTATCCCAGCCAAGTGGGAGCCAACCTCTGGACTGAAATTCCGATCTGGGGAGGTAACATGGGCTGGGGGCGCTGGGGGCAGTTTCATCACTGGTGTTCACCACGGCCACTCTGCTGCTGCTGCACCAGCACCAAGGCTGCCAGGACCTCTGCTCCTGCCACCTGTGCCAGAGTCCCAGCTAATTAAAGCATCTCTGCCCAACAGCCCTTACCCTCATGTGCTCTCACTTCATCCCAGCAAAAGGGAACCTGAGTGCTGGCCAAGCAGAAGCAGCTATCTAGCGTGAAGGGGCCTTGGGAGTCTGCTCCATGGATGCAGCCTGGGTGTGCTTGGGGCCAGGACAGCACGTGCAAAGGGCCAATAACATCCTGGCCAGCCTCACCCCTGGCCACTGCTAACAGGACCCAGAGCAGGAAGCTGCTCAGTGAAGATGGTGGTCTTTTCCCAGTTCTCCAAGCATCTGGAGGCCCACCCTCTCCCCAGCTCCCCAGGGAAGCCCAAAGCCCTGGCAGTTGGGGGGTGAAGGCCATAAGCAGCAACCACAGCACTGTCAGTCTCCTCCCCGGGGACAGGGTGCCATATGGGATCCTGGGCACAGAAGGCATAACACATCTCTGACCTCAGCCTCTCCAGGCTCTGCCGCCCCATCTCTGGGTCCTGGACAGCATAAAGAGAGGACAGGAGGTTTTCCCTGACTTCCCAGGACATCAGAGCTGGCTGCCAGACTTGAGAAATGAGCCAGTGGCCAAAAGGAGGGGAAGCTCTTCATACCTGAGCACATTTCAGAAGTGTGGAGGGTCTAAGCTTCGTGCCCTGGGCTTGGGGGAGAAAACTAGAGGGCCGAGCAGAGGGTTGTGGGCAACTGAAAAGGGATGGAGTCTTTTGTCCGGTTCCCTGAACTTCATCCTGAGCCTCACTTTGAGTCCTCATCCCTCAGGACCCCCAGGATTGCCCACTCCCTGTCAGCACCAGGGGATGCCCAGCTGAGGCCCAGGTAGCAGAGAGGTTAATGGTGTCCAGGAAGGACCACCAGTGGGGAGAGGAGCAGCAGAAGGGCAGCCCAAAGGCAGGGAGTACATGTATGGGTGGCTGGGCCCCAGGGAATTACTAATGCCTCCAGCCACCACCAAGCTGAGGAGGCTCTGAGGCCACAGCGGGGACCACCTGGGCTCTGCCCACCCATCCAAGGACAGTCACCTGTCCTGGCCCGGGAAGCACCACCCTGCAGCGGGGAGTAACCTCCTCCAGCCTGCCCCTTCCTGATTTTGCAGGGCACAGGAGGCCACAGCACTGACCCTGTGAGACACCCCCACCCACCAACCAGCTTGGGACACGAGACCCTGTGAGAAGCTCGCCAAGGTGAACCTTGACAAGCCCAGTACCTCTACCAAGGAGGTGGAGCCTGGGGTCATAGCCCCAGTTAACAAGGTGAGGGGTTCACAGCAGACTCCTGGAATGGGAAGCTTCTCTGCCCTGGTCTCTGAGCTCCTGCCCTCAGGCGAGGAGTCCATGGAGGAAGCCACTGGATCCTACACGACCCTCCTTGGGGCTGTGCTGACACCACCTACCTCCAGCCCCAACCTCGGAGCCAGCTGACATTTTCTTCCTCGCTCTTCTACCTGAAGTCAAGCCTCAGGTTGGGTGGCGATGAAGGCCTGATGCCAGCCCACTCTAGGCTTCCACCGAGTATTCCTGAACCCAGACTCTTTGCTGCTGCTTATGATTTGAGATAAATCAGAAAGAATATAAGCTTGGTCTCACTTGGCGGGGATGGATACCCATTTGTTCATATTCTGCCTTGGCACTGGAGGGACCTATGTCTTTCCAGGATAGATGCGGTCTCTCTGTCCTGGCCCAATAGAGGTAGGCAGGGAGGGGGCTGCCATGTGGTCATTTCCAGGGCTCCTGACCAGCTCCATGTGACTATGCCTCCAGGAAAGGAGTATGACATACTGTTTCCTCTCCCAATCTCAAGGAAGCAACTTTCCCAGGGCCTGACTATGTGGGATTCAAGAGAAGCAGCAATGCCTCCCTGACTCAATATGCTCCTCCTCCTTCCCCAATCCCCCCCCAAAACAAAGTTCCCTCTTCTTATTTTCTCGCTAAGAGTCCTGCCTGCTGTGAGGTTCCCCTGGGTGTGCACTAGGGAACAAGGATAAGGACCAACGAATTAGGTAGCAGCTCCCTCTAGGTCTGACCCCCAAGTACCACAGACTGATGAGCCCAGCTAACTTTATTTTTGGCCCCAAGTCAGGTCTCCCAAAGGGTTCATAGCCAGTCACATCAGTCTTCCCATCAGATTTCTTCTGTGGGAGAAGCTGGCACCCCAGTACTTGACTTCTAGTGCCACCGTCTCTTGTCAACTGGGTTCCAATCTGTCCAATGGCCTCAGCCAAGAGCTCAAAGCATAGCCACCAGCTTGAAGACGCCCTCAGGCTTGGCAGGAACCACGTGGACAAAGGTCTTGTAGAGCACTGCACCCTTCGGCAGTCTGGTAACCAGATCCACAGCCTCCACGTTGCTGGGACTGGGCACATAGACCTCCTTGGTGTAGCGGACTACCCCCTCCTCCAAGGCGTACAGGCACTTCCTCTTCCCCAGCCCGACCTGCAACACACAAACCTCGTCAGCTTGAGGATAGCTGTCTCACAAAGATCCAGGTCTGTGGCTGAAGGACAGGGTTCAAAAGCATCAACTGGGGTTCCCCTCCCCACTTACTGGCACTTCCTTGGCTGTACTTCCAGGCTGACTTTGACAGAAGGTGGGAAGTACTCTAACAGCCAAACCTGGTAGAGGTTCAGCCCCTCAGGACTGACAAGGTGGCCTAGTCTGTGGAGCAGGCCAGAAGCGCCACCAGACAAATCCTCTCATCACTAAGCAAAATGCCCTCATCAATGCCCTGGCAACTTGTTTTCATTTAGAATTAAAAAACCCTGAAATTCACAGATTTAGCTCTAGTTTAATTTTCATTTTCATCTACAAAGCGGTCTATGAAGTTTAGGCTCCATGGAAAGCACATAACAATGCTGTATGGATGATGTGTCATAAGAAAGTAACAATACCAGCTAGTACTTATTGAATATAGTGTGCCTTGCATATCTAGTAACTTATTTAATTCTTACCATGCAAAGCAGGTACCATTTCTAAACCTCTGTTTTTCAGACAAGAAATATGAGCAATGTGATTAAATAAACTATGCATTGTATAGACAGTCTTTTAACTGTATTATAGCAATTCTTATTTAGAATTTGAGATTGCATGTGTAATAATTTTCATCCAGGCAGTCCAGCATTATTCAACATTTTCCTGATTAAAAAAGTGGGCTCTGGTGACAGGATGTCTGGCTCAAGTCCCAGCACTACTACTTACTATTATATGATAGGGAGAAAATAATGAACTTTGAAGCATCTCAGTTTTTTCATCTGCAAAAGGAACAATATTAACTACTTTAATAGGTCATCCTGAGGATCATACAAGTAATGATCACAAAGAGCCTAGATTATTGCCTAAGTCCAAACAAATTAGCTTTTATTCATACTATTTTAGCAAGTCCAGACTGTTGACATAGCCGCTAAAAGATAAAGTTATTACATATGCAATCAACTCACATACGATGAGTATTCTGAAAGAATCATAGTCACTATCAGTCGTTCTGTACCTATTAAGGTTTCCAAAACCAGAGTGGAGGGGGAACTGATTACAAAACAAACTAAACCAACATTTAAATAGTGTGAGCACAGTATAGATCAATGTTAACAGAGAACTTCCCTACCTCAGAGAGTAATTCCAACCAGCTGAAACTGAAATCCCCGCCTGGTATGGACTTCATTTTGGGGAATTCCATTTTATAAGGATTTAAGCTTTCTTTCACCCATCTAATACTTGATGCAAAGGACTTTTTAGAAACAAGGAAAATGGAATAAACTGAAATTTGTTTCCAAGACTGAGAAAATATCTTGAATCACTAGTCATCTCCTCCTCCAGACACTGAGGGTTGTAAAGAACCAAGAGATCAGGTTAATGCCTTTCCAGGCTAACCAGGAATCAGGCAGGACTGGTTCAAATCCCAGCACCGGCACACAGACTGCTCTGCTCTCCAAGGCTCAGGCATCTTATCTGTAAAACGGAGATGGTACCTGCCCACCTACATGGATGGGTGCAGGAGGAAATGGGAGGGAGGCCCGGGAACCAGCACGATGCCTGGCACGTGGCAAGCACCCAATAAAGGCAACCGGTACTGTTGTTACTGTGCTTAGGTGTGTGGAGAGGAGGTCCTAGAAAAGGAAAACTGGGGGAGGGTCCCAAAACAACTCACATGGGCTCCTGGGTGCCAGCGGAAGTGGCGCTGAGTCGCAAGGATGTTACCAGCATGAACATAGTGACCTAGAAGAGAGTCCACAGGAGTGCGGGCGCTGAGTCCCAAGGGGTGGCACAGCAAACGGCTGAGAAAACACCACGGCCTGCATGATCCTGGCCCAGAGGCTGCACACCAGCCCCTAAGCCTGCCCCTGATAAAACCAAGCCCCAGAGGGTCTTCCCAGCACCCTCACCCCACCCCGCACCCCTTCTCTTCAGTCCCATGGAGAGAAGATTCACATCTATCTGATCTTCTCCAGGCCCCCCACCAGCCTCTGTCCCTTTAAGCCAGAGCCAGATTTTCTGGGGATCTAAGCAGAGAGGCCAGGATCAGGCACTGGCGTGATTTTCCTGCTTCTCAAAGGGACACAGGGGTCAGCAGAGCAGCATGCAGCTGGGAGCCGGAAATCAAGGCACAGCCTCACCCTCCATTTTCTTGATGCCATAGCGTTTGCCTCGTGACTTTCCACCAAGGTTTTTGGAGCTGCCCCCTGTCTTCTTGGATGCATATCTGACAGCCAGAGCTGCGGCCTGAGGGGGGTTCAGCAGGGCTGCAACAGCAGAAACAACAAAAATGTTCAGGCAGAGATGCTCCCAATCCCAAGCATCTGCCCCACTGAGAGTGACAGGGGAGGGGAGGAAAATGTAGGCACAGAAATGCCACTGACTGTGTTCGTCATCAGGGGTGTCTGGAAGTCACTGGCCTTTTCCAGGGCAGTGGACAAGTCATTCGTTGTATTGCCCGTGGTGTAAGCACAGCATGAAGTGCGTGTGTGGCCCTGAGGTGGGGGTAGGGTGAGGGAAGTGAATACTAATGGAAAAATGATAGACACCATGTACCCCAGGCCCTGACACAGTCAGTGTTGTCAAGAAACACACACCACAGACACAGAAGCCAGCAGAGGACACCACACACTGGCTGTGTGAGCCTCACTCACAACCATGCCCGCAAGGCTCCATGGCCGTGCAGGGCCCAGACCACAGCAGCCAGCAACAGAACACCCAGAGAAGCCTTGCTTCAGCCACACCCACCACTTTCTCAGCTTCCCACCCCTCCACTGCACCCCAGATACTTGTAAACAAAGGCGACAGCTTCTCTGGGGGTGGCTCCCACAGGCTCCTGGCCATTTCAGAAGGTTGGGCCTTTTCCAGCAAACAGAGGTGCAGCCAAGGAGACCTACACCCTGCGCTTGTCAAGCTGTTCTGCATGCTCGGCCCAAAGTGCTCAGTGGTGATCAGGTTATAAAGAAAAGTGAATTAAACGCACAGGAAACAAGAGAAAAGCCCACTGCTACAGGACAAGCCCAGGGCTGGGCAGCTCCCCTCTTTGGCTCATCAGGGCCTTAGAAAGCCCGTAGGTCTCTGGACACTATAACCCCAGAGAGCCCAAAGCCTAGCTTCCTGAATTTCTAATGTGAACAGAGACTGGATGGGGAAAGGACCAGCGATAATGACTCACAGAGAAATATAAAGCCCAGGACTAGGATCTTCCTACCTTTAAACACCCATTCACTTACCCAGGCTCTCACTCCCTCTGCGCAGGAACTGCACTTTAGCTTTACCAAAATTATTTGCAAATCTTTGTCCTTCACCTTACTTCCCCTCCTCTTCCTCCAAGGAGACAGTGCTACCCCCCAGGCAGTTGCTCAAGCAGAAACCAGGGAGTCACTGCAGATCCCTGCCCTTTGCTTACCTCACGGACCCAGCTCACCAGCAAACTCTGGAGTCAGCCTCCAGAACAGCTCTCAGATGCATCCATTTTCCTCCCAAGTTCACGGTCACTGCTAACCTGCTGGCTAAATCTCTCCTCAGGGCTATCACAGCTTCCCCTCGGGTTTCCTCATTTTCACGCCTGCCCTCTTTCAATTCACATAAGACCAACAGTCACTTTCTCAGAATGTGAAATTGGGTGAAGTCACACCTTGCTGTCTCCTCCTGGGCAGGAGAGGCCTCCTGTCAGCCCTTGGGTCTCAACTTCCACGTGGCCTCCTCAGAGGCCTCTCCTAACCACCCAACATTAAAAAAGACACATCACATTTTTTTACTATTATGTATGTGCTTATTTATGGCCTTATCCAATAGAAAGAATCATCCAGCTGGTAGAAACCGTCTTTTGGGATCCCCATCCCCCACCACTGTCTGGCACAAAGACAGAGGTCAATTTGTGGAACCAAAGGGTGAACTTTTGCTCCAATGTGCCAATATCAGTAACCCATTTTTAGATGTAAAGGGATCTAAACACACCCAGAGGGGGAGAAGTGGGAGCTTATTCTGAAAACACAGAACAGTGCCTGAGCCAGCCACTGCTTTAACCTTCGTGGAGAACAGTTACAGTTCTCAACTGCTAACCTGTTAGCTCCCTAAAACCGCCTCGACGAAACTCCCAGCACTGACCTCACTCCTTCCCAGTTGCTTCTGTCGACAGATGAACTGATAAAGTATGAACCGTCACAGAACCACCACGACTCTGGTCACGCCGTCTCTGGACAGGCTGACACAACGGCCACCAGCCTCACAGGTGACGGAAAAGCAACTTTGAAAGGTCCATGCAGGAGGGACTTCCCGCAACAGGAGCAGCTGAGATCGAAAACCCATCTATCTCCTCCTGCCCCGCGCTCCGCTACAAAAACCCGAGCACACTGCCCAGAAAACTGAGTCGGTGTCTTGAGGACCTAAGTCCCCGTCTCTCCAGCTTCCCTGTTTCGGGACAAACCTCGCTTTCCCACCCCGCCAAGAGTGGCAGAGCTTCCCAGCCATCAATTTCACCAATTCTAGGGCAACCTCCTGGCCTTCAAGCAGGGGAGGGGCACGTGCTCCCCGAACTACCACGCTCAGGCCGCCTAGACGGGTCACGTGATCCGCTCCAGCTGTCCCACCAACCCCAGCAGGTCTTCGAAGAGAACATCCCCATCCCCCGCGTTCCCACGGGCCTCCACGCGCCTTCACGCGCCTCCACCCCTCCCCCCGCAATGGCCCGGGCGTCTGCTTACCAGCTGTGCTCGTCCTCAGGGCCAGTAGCGCCGCCGCCATGTTTGCCGTGCGCCTGCTTCCGGCGTCGGCAAACGTCACTTCCGTTTCCTGAGATTCACTTCCGGGTCCTGCGTAGCGGTTGAAGGCGCGGCGGGAGAAGCTGCAGGTGAGTCTCGGGGTGCCGGCGCGGCGCGGCGGGCTGTCGGGCTTTCCTTCTGGGGTGGCGTTCGGCCGGGGCTCGGTGCCGGGGAGCCGGGGTCTGGCGCCGAGGGTGGACGAGCCGCCCCGCCCTGGTGCGGCCTTGGCAGGCGCGGAGCCGGCCGCGGGGCTGGGTAGTCCCGCTGCCTCGTTTTGCACTGAAGCAACCGAGGCCCTGGCGGGGACAAGGATGGGCTCCCTCCCTGGCCGCCCATTATATATTATTACTCAGCGTTTGTGATGTGCCAGAGACTCCGCTCAGCGCTGTAAAAGACGCGTCGTTTCTTTTATTTCTCACAACAGTAACTGTCCTGTTTTTACTGAAAAAGAAACCGAAGCCCAGAAATGTTACCCGGCTTATGCCGGGACACACCAACAGTGTTTGGTTAAAGAATGACTCTTGCACACGACCCAGCAACAGCACCCCTTGGTATATATGCAAAAGAAATGAAGACGTGTCCACACAAAATCTTGTGCATGAATGTTCAAAGCAGAACTATTATTCAGAATAGCCCCACAATGTAAACAAATTCTCATCAAGTGATAATGTGGTATATTTATACAGTGGAATATTTTTCAGCCATAAAACCCAAATAGTGAAACATGCTACGACATAAATGAAACTTGTAAGCATGTTACTGTGTATTCCATTAATGTGGCATATCCAGAAGGGAAATCCATATTAGACAAGTAGATTCGAGGTTGAAGTGGGTTGGCGGGAGAGGGGGATGGGTAGTGACTGCTTGATAGCTACGGGATTTCCTTTCAGGGTCATCAAATATTATGAAATTAGGTAGTAGTGATGGTTGCACAACCGTGTGAACAAACTAAAAACCACTATTTAAAGTGAATTTTGTGGTATTCAGGTTGCTTCTCACTTAAGGATGACTTTTGGCATCTCCATTTCAAATTCAGAGATCAACAAATGAGTAGTGTTGAGTGTTGTTACTACCCATTGAAAAGTTTGCAGTGGTAACCTCCACTTTGTTTATAGCTCATCTTTACCTAGAAAGGACTTGAGGAGGGCTTCTGTTAGAATACAGGGCATGACTGTTCTAAGTTCTAGATCGAATATGCTGGAACCTTGCCCTTTTCCTGTTTTTCTGTTTCTCTTTATCGCAATTTTTTCTCTGTAAAGCTTGTCTCTAGAACATGTCCAGGGGACTGAATTCAATGTTACAGTCTTTGTATCATCTCTTTTTCTTTTAGGAAATTAATTTGATGGCTCTGAAGAAGTCACCACTCTCGCTGGAATCCAGTGATAGTGACTCTGAGGAGTTGCCAGTATTTACCTTTCTAAAGAAGGAACCAGCTTCAACAAAGAGAAGCCAACCTCAGAAGGAAGAGAAGATTGTAGTAGTAGATACCTCAGATTCTGAGGCCTCTTGTCCTCTATCACCAAGGTTGAAAAACCCACCATCTGTCCTAGACGTATCTCAAACTGTCACACAAAGAGAGCCAGTCAGGGTGCTAAGCAGTGGAAGTGAGAGTGAGGAGGAATTTATTCCCCTGGCTGAGAGGCTTACTTGTAAGTTTTTGACCCATAAGCAACTGAGTCCTGATGATTCTGACTCCCCGGTTAAAAGTGTCTGGGGTCATCAAAATAATGAAGGAGCAGCATGTGACTGGAAAAAACAGCCTTTTCCAAAGAGCCCTGATGTTCCCCTCCATGCCACCTCAGAGAGACTTGCATTCAATAACAAGCTCTCTTTAGTAGCTGATCCATGCCACCAGCTTCCAGCCTGCCAAACCACCTGCCCTGTCCAGTGCCAAAGCTTGACAGTGACCAACACAAATGCCCCAACTCAGAAAAGAACCAAGCCCCGTCAGAAGGCGCAGAGGAGAATCACACAGGGAAACCAGCCCCAGGAACAAGCAAGCCTGAAGAAAGGCGCCCTGAGACGAGAGGAAGGGAAGAAGGAGGCAGCACTGGTTCACAGGCTAAAAGCCCAGAGGCCAGAGGAGTGCTTAAAGCACATCGTTGTGGTGCTTGATCCAGGTTCTACCGGCATCTCTCTTTACCTGGGGCTGTGTTACCTGCTTTCTGGGCCACCCACTGACAGCCCCTTCCCCATCTGTTGCAGTGCTTTTGCAGATGGAAGGTGGGGGCCAGCTCCTGGGAGCGCTGCAGTCCATGGGGTGCTGCTGTGCCATTGAGGCGCAGGAAGTGCCTCGCAGTGTCACCTGGAGGAGAAGGGCCGGGCCGGCTGAGGTAGGAGCTGGCCTTTCTCCTCCTCCCTCTTAGAGTTACAGAAGAAATACGCTTTTACTCAAAAGGATGTGTATCAGTCATGGCCCCAGCAGGAAAACAGATGGCACACTCAGGATATTTGGAGGAGGATTTAATAAGGGGACTGCTTTCCAAGGTGTGGGCAGGGTACAGAAAACTGTAAGGGTCAGCTCAATACTTGAGGGTAATAACAGCATAACTCCAGTTCGCCTCTGGTACTGTTGCTGTTTTGTATCAGATAGTTCTTTGTCATGGGGACTGTCTGCTGATGGTAGAGTGTTTATCCCTGGCATCTGCTCACTAAATGCCAGTAGCACCCTTCCCAGTCGTGACAATTAAAGATGTCTCCAGATATTGCCAGTCATCCCTCGTGGGAAAAATCATCCCTGGTTGAGAACCACGGCTTAGCTGTAGCCATGTGTAGGCCTGAAGGGATGATGGGAGGAAGTAGTTGCAAAACGCAGGAGAAAGAAGCCAATGTGGAGAGGACCACCTTGAAAGGGGCTTAATCTCCAGCAGTGGAGTGTGGCAACCATAGGGGGCCCCATTGGGAGGGAGCCAGGGAAGGCAATACCCTGCCTTTACTCCCGTTCCTTCTCCCTCCAGTCTCTTGCTGGGCTCCCCACAGGCCACGCCCAGCCAGAGGGAAGACAGTGCCCAGGATCCTAGCCCTCGCTCACCGAGCTTTGGGAATGAGCGGGCTGTGTTTGAATCCCACCTGGCCTCCCAGTTGCTGCGGCCTCCCGTGCCTGCTACTCCTCTTGCCTGAGAGTCCAAACACTCCACCCGTCATCTGCAGGAACCCAGAGATGAAACGTGAAGGCTTTTCCCCTCTCTTGTTAGGTCTCCTTATTTTCAGGGCAATTAAACACCTTCCTAATCTGGAGTATTGGCAGACCTTTGTATCCACATGGCAGGTTAGCCTTTTAGGGCACTTTTACATTCTCTTTCATGTTTCAGTAGCAGTTATCCTATAAGGAGGGAATTGTGAGCCACATGTTATAGGTGGGGAAACCGAGGCTCAGAGAAGTGGAAAGCCTAGTTAAGGATCGTGGCTAGTCAGTACTGGGCCGGAAGTAGAACCCAGAGCTCCTCCCACTCCCTCTTCATTGTGTCATGCGCCTGGGATTTTTTTCTGTGTCTGCTGTGTGCTCTGTGGCTGCTCATCTTATTCAGTCCCCACAACCAACAACTTCCTGTAAAAGTTCAGTTCCCCAGTCACTCCATGATACTCTCCTGCTGCGAGATAATTGACCTTGAGGCAGCCTTGGCTGTGTTTACATCCCAGCTGTGGTGAAGAGGGGGTGCCCGCATAGACTGAAGTTTCCCTTAGGATTCTTACCCTTAGCTCACAAATGCTTGTTCGTAAGGGCCCCCTAGCTCATAGTGAGCATCTGCTCTCACAACCGGAGTGAGTGTTTGTGCCAGTCCTTTGGAGGAACTGCCTTTCCTTCCAGTCCCCCCCTTTTTTGTTTTTTTCCCATTCCCTGTTTCAAACTGTGGGGAAATTGGCAGTTATTTCTCAGCCCATTTCAGCTTGCTGTGTTCCTTTCCTACTGCCTCTGAGCTGTGATGTGGTTTCTTGCCACCATGATTTCATTCTGAAGAAAAAGGAGACCATTAAATGGGCCAGGCTGACTGTTGGTGGGGGTTATGGGGGGTTCATTCACCCAGAAGGCCTGGGTCTCTCTCACAGGTGCTGAGCACCTGCTGACCTGCCTCCCTCTGCTGGTTTCGGGTTCTTTGGCAGGATGGAGAGGAGGCCTGGGTGGAAGAGCCGGCGGTCCTGGTGCTGCTCCTGGTAGAGGCATTTGTGTCCATGATCTACTACTTCAAGCAGGTGGGCAGAGCCTGAGGGGTGAGTGCCGAGACCCAGGACAGAGACCAGCTCTGGCTAGGGAGCAAAGCATTAATGCAAATTCTGCTCCTTCATGCAGGGAAGTCTGAGCAGCACCGAGAAAGGGAAGGAAACACTTCGGAGCTTTGTAGCTGACATCACAGCAAGGACAGCAGGGAAAGCGCTGTCATTGGTGATTGTGGACCAGGAGAAGTACTTCAGGTTTGCATGTGTCATGGAGACTTTAGCATTAAAGGAGGCAGCTCTTGGATCAATAGGGGTGGATTAATTAAGATCTGGGTCCCTGACAAACCCCGTGGGATGCTCTGGGCCTGTCTTCTTTCTCTTCTGCCTCAGCTCAGCCTGGAGCTGCTGCTCTTGACTCTCTCTCCCCTGCTTCAGTGCTCCACAGCTTCCAAAGAGAAGGAAACAGGGAATGGCAGATAGAGAACAGGCCAAGGAGAAGAAGCAGCAGCGTCGGCCAGAGGCCAACACAGGGCCCGTGGTGTCCAGGGTGGATATGGAAGAGGTAAGAACTGTTGCCAGAGTTGGATCTCCTACTGAGAAAGTAAAATGCCTGCTGGATTGGGGAGAGAAGGGCCTAAACAGGGAGCCCAGGGGCTGGGGTGCAGCTCAATGAACAGTGAGAGGAGACCCTCAGACTGGTTTCTCCACCCAGTCCATCCTGCTTCGGGGTCTCTAGGCATTGGTGGATCTGCAGCTATACACAGAAACCCAGGCTCGAATTGTGCAGAGTTGGAAAGAGATGGCCGACTTGGTATGTGCATTCACGAAGGCTGTGGCTGAGACACCCTTCAAGTGAGTACCCCCAGCGAGTCCCAGCTCCACTGCCTAACCCTGTCTGTATGGTGGCTCTGGTACCCAGAGATGTCCTTTCCCCCTGTACCCTGCTGCCAGTCCTTTTGTCTCATGCTTGCGGCAGAAGGCACTGACCTCACACTGGGAATGGCACACCAGTCCCTTTGAGATACTCTGCCTTAGCAACAAGCACTGCTTGGGAACGAAGCGAGCACTCAAATAGGTTAGAAACAGTGCCCCCATACCCAAGGTCAGTGTTGGGGAGCGTTTTTAAGTTCCCAGTTAGGGACAGGTGCAGGAGAGTAACGAGTATCTGCAGTTTTTCAACTGTGCTATTTGCAGGAAGCTCCGAGACCAGACCAGCTTCTCCTTCTGCCTGGAGAGTGACTGGGCTGGAGGGGCAAAAGTGGACCGCGCCGGCAGGGGACTTGCAGTAGTATGGAAGAGACAGATTCAGCAGTTGAACCGTGTCAGCCTGGAGATGGCCAGTGCAGTTGTGGATGCCTATCCCTCCCCACAGCTCCTGCTCCAGGTATGCGGCCCCAAAGGTCACAGCCCTGTGTCTTGTGGCCTGACTCCAGGTTTCCATGGATGGCTCTGGGAGGGCTCCGGGCAGGTCTGCTGAGATCAGTGGTTAACACTGACCCAGGGAAGGAGGACAGGTTCTCATCCCCCAACCCAAGCTTATGGCCCCCTGCTGTCCTCGTTCATGGACAAGGGGTGACTGGATGGTGTTAACAGGTCATTTGCCACTTTCAGGCTTATAGGCGGTGTTTTTCGGAGCAAGAGCGCCAGAATCTGCTTGCAGACATAAAGGTGCGTCGCGGGGAAGGTGTGACATCCACCTCCCGCCGCATTGGACCAGAGCTGTCCAGGCGTATCTACCTTCAGCTGACCACTCTGCAGCCAGATCTCTCTTTAGACAGTGCGGACTGACGCTAGCCCCCAGGGCCAAGATTGAAGTTACTTCCGAATTGGCCCCGCGAGGCTTTCTTGGGCATCATTATTTATGCAAGTCTCCTTAATGTCAACATGAGGCAGAACTTCCTTACCTTCACAGCATTTAATGTTCCTCCTCTAGTAGCAAAAATCAGCTGCCATGTAGGAGCCACCCTTCCCCAGTCAGCCCCCCAAACACAAAGGAACAAAGCCAGACCACTCAGACACATATTTAATAATGTAGAAATGCTAAAGAACCTCAGCATCCAATCTGGAGAGCACAAGTGAACGGCCTTCGGCATGTCGGCAGGAACCGGACCTGATCACTGCCGGCTTCTGTGTTCTCTCAATCTCATCTCATGTACTGTCTGTTTAGTTTCAATAAAGCATTTGTACCAATGGCTCTGGAGTTTAGAGGAAGACTAAAGGGATGTGTAGTGACTCTGAGAAAGGTGTGGGCCTATGCAGCAGAGCTATCTTCAGGGAGAGGAGAACATATTTCTTCTAGGATCAGGACAGTCACGCGTGGCAGTCCTGTCCAGGTGGGCCACTCAGGAGATGCTGGACCCACCCTCTCTGCCTCTGAACAGGTTCATCTAGCTGTTGTGAAAAGATGAGGCAAAGGAGGCCACAAAGCAGGAAAATGCTGAAGCTGGCAGATACGAGAACAGCCACCTGCCCCTCCCTGCTAGTCATGAGAGTTAGTGCACCACTTATAAACTGCATGGTGCCACTGGCTTGCCTTGAGCAGATGTAGTTAGAGGTCTAGAAAATGATTTGAATCTTAATCTCTATGACGCTTGAGTTTTTAGGCTGCCTTTGAGGTATGTATTCACACCAGCTACTAAGCGCTGTCACCCAGTGTGGCCTGGCCAGGTGGAAGTGCCTCCTTATTTATTGGCAATCGGAGTGAATGCTCTAAGACAGGCAGAACTCCACAGAAGCTGCCCAAGACTCATGACTGAGAGATTCAATCTGGTCTGAGTTCTGTTCTCTCAGGATGTGGTAAAAGAAAAAATGATGTTACGAGGATTCCACAGTGGGTGTCCAGTTGTGCCTCAAACTAACTGGGAGACCACAGGCAAGTCCTGGAAGGCCTTAGTTTCCTTGTCTCAAGTGTCAGATTGGAATGAATGGTTCTGGAGTCCCTTTGATGGGCTGAGATTTTGTATAGTCATTAATAGCTTTGAATGTCTGAGGTCCTTAAGAAAATAGATATGCCCCTCCCTCCCAAATTATGCCAGATTTGCTGAGTGTGGAAATCCCCTGGTCCCCAATAACACGCTGCCTCCTGATCTGCCCTGGCCGCCCAGGGAGGAATGAAAGGAAGGGTTGGTGACATACAAAAGTATAAATGTAGTGACAGCTGACCGTTTAGTAGAAACGAGCCTTGCCTTTACACAGCTTTGTAGAACAACTAGAAAAGGCTGTTTTTTCCTCTCCCCACCCCCAAGCCTATTCCTTTAGGCATGCAGGTAACTGTCCCCACCTCCCATTTCACCTTATTCCACCAGGGAACCCTGACTAAGGAACAAAGAAGTCCTACAGAGGAGGTCTCAAGTACCAATCAGCAGCCATTTGATGATGGCAGGTAGGTCTGACGCTAAAAAGAGGTTGTGTCCAGCAGAACCCAATTCCATAGGAATCCAAGCTCCAAGGCTGGGAGGCAGCAGGTGTGTTGAGGACGAGCTCACTGCTGAGAATCGGTCTGCAGGACCCACCGGAGGATGTCGTGGCTGCGCAGGCCCCGGACCGCGTTGTCGTAGATGGTGTTCACGCTGGTGCAGAGGGGCTGCCGCTGCAGCTCTGTCACCCGACAAGCCACCAGCCCACCAGCCACACACAGCAGCAGCAGCAGCAGCAGCTTCAGCACAGCCCATGACCGGGTGTGTTTCCGGGGTGGCGGCTTGCGGGGGCGAGAGCCAGATTTAGATTCTGGAGGGACAGATTCGCAGTAGACAAAAAAGTTCAGTCAGGTTGGGGAGACCCATAGCATTCTACCAATCAGTGCTGGTCTCAACATAGAGCCACTTGTACCCCTCTTCTCAAATGCAAACTCCCAGGCTCTAAAGAGAAAACTTTTAAGAACACCCAAACTCTTAAAAATACCTCACTGTGCAGACTGAAACATAAACCTCCCTTGGATCTTAAGGGGGTACATTCAAGACGGGGACTCATTCTGGGTGTCTCAGGTAGCTCCCACAGGCCCTAACACTTAAATTCTCCGTTGCGTGGTAATAATCCAGGCCCCTTGGGATCAAGGGGAGGAGTTTATCAGGAGGCACCACGCATGGTACACATGGCTAGAATGCTCCCCATTTGGGGGGAAACAGGTTTGAGATTTATTAATAGTATTGTTGATATTATGGTAAGATTTATCTTGTTAACAGGAATTAACCTGGGGTGGGGGTTACAGATGACTGCCATATTCTGATACATAGAACTTTTCTAAATCTCTACAGTGATAATATTACATCTATAATAAGGGGGGAAAACTGGCTTTGAGATTTTTAGGCACTTCACTGAGCACCCACAAGCCAAGAACTGCATGATCCTGTCACTGAGACTTTCTTACTCAGCTCAATCTCATCGCTACCCTGGGTAATGGGGTGTGAGCCTCATTTTACACAAGAAAACAAAAAGGAGAGGTTAAGCAACTTGCTCACAGCAACCGAGGGTAAGCGGGGACAGGCAAGCTGACCTCCAGCCTCCCTACAGAATCCTGCCCTCTCGGGCCCTTCTGGCCAGAGGGAACGCAACCCTCCTGTGCCCATGCAGCCGCATCAACACAGAAATTCAACTGGACAGAGTCAGGCAAAACGCTAACGTGTCTTTATAACATGGCTCCTGGAACACAGGCCATGTGATTCCTTTGGTACTTAAGCAAAAACAGTGACGTGTTCCAACTTGGAAAGAAAACCACAGGCAGGGCCGGCCTTGTTGAAACTGCCATGCGCTCAACACGTGCAGTGCCCTTCATGGATGACGCAAGGGGCCTTTAAGGGGAACCTGACCATACGCAGTCTTTGTCCCTCTCAGGCCAGCACTCTAACCCTTACAAGAGTGCAACTCCCTGCTCCGGGTATGCGCTCACCTGAAAACACCTGCACATAAACGTGTGGTGCTGGGGCCCTCAGTCCCTAGGGGAGCCCCCATTATCTGTCACCCTCCAAGAGCTACTACCACTCCCTAGAGGATACCGTACTACCTAAGGTTTGCCAGCTCGTTCACCCTCGTCTGCGCCTGCAGACGTGACTCTCCCACAACAGCCCCTCTGGAACCTGCAAAGGAGAAAACATACTCGGAGCCTGATTTGTTTCCTTCTTAGGTTTCTTCTCCTGTTCCCGCTTGGCTGCTTTGAGGGCATCATACTCCTTTCTGCGGCGCTCCTTCTCTTCTGCCTTCTCCCGCTTCCGCAGTTCCCGCTCCTGCGCCTCCTTAGCTCGCTGCTTGGCTTCCCGCTTCTTCTCAGCTTCTACAAAAAATAGATCCCCAAATGACTTACCTTCCATAGACCCACCAGTGTGCTCCCCCAGGTGATTAGAAATAGGGCTCCCGCCTTCTCTTTCTATGCCACGAGGCACATGAGAGACTTTCTTTCTGCTTTCCAGGAAGTGAAGCTGCTCTCAGGGTTTGCTGAGTTGATGCTTAGTAAGGAGCCTCTAGCCACAGCAGCAGAGACATGAGAGTAACATAGCAAGGGGGAATGAGAAAGGTGCAGGTGATAAGTCCGGTGCTGCTCTAGAATTAGGTACAAATTCACAAGGCACAGCAATTGACAGCCCTGTACAACCCATCATGAAGAGAAGGAACAACAGGTGTTGATTCTATGGGATTCCTATCTTCCCAAGCTTTAGAAAGGAATGTGATGTGGGGAGGCAAGCAAGACAGTGAACACTCAAGTTCAGGGTTAGAGATGATAGAAATTTCTGGAAAACAACAGTTTATCAGAGGGCTAATCTCTATAGATATCAATTTGGGAATCTATGTGACACATTCAGACTGACTTCAGAGCTCAAGTATGTTTACGTGGAGTACCCAACTTACAAATTATTTGCTCTAAATTGCATTTCCAAATTAGTTATTGGAAGCTTGAAGTATATTTTTCCAAAGCCAGAATGCCACAAATGGTGGTTAAATGGCCTCTTGCGGCTTAAAAGCCTCTTTAGCTCCTTATGTAGCTGAATAGTAGAGCTAAAAGCACTGTAGCTTTCCACTGCTTCTCTGTGGACAAACTCCATGTTCCAGCTGGGTGCTAAGAATGCCAAGAACATGCCACACCCAGCCTCCAGAGAGCGCGTGCCACCGAGAAGCGACAGCAGCAGTGGCCAGAGTCAGCAGGGAACCGGGTAGCTATGCGTGTGGCGAGGGACAGTCCAAAGGCAGGAGCTCTGATTTGGGACTGCAATCAGCACGTCGGTCCCGCCCCTCCACTCGCCCCCCGCCCCCCAGGCATCCCCAGCAAGGGGGCTCCAAAGTCAGCCAGGCAATCCAGTCTACTGTGTGCCAGGTCTTATGCTAATTCCTAGATAGAGCAGTGAGAACCATTCAGGTTCTAGGGCCCAAGTCACCTACTTTCCAGAGAAGACAGACAATAAAAAAGTGAGCAAACAGTAAAAACAACAGTGGTATGTGCCAGGGGGAAAACAGAGGCTTGGCCCGTGGCAGGCCACGCTAGCCATGTTATGGAGTTTGAATTTCATTCTAAGTACAATTAGAACCCACAAGAAGCTTCTAGTAGACAGTGACATAATTGTTGTAGTTTAAGAAGATCTCCCTGGCTGCTGTGTGGAGAAGGCACATGCATGGAGATGGGACATCATGTCAGAAGGTCTGTGGAGGCTTGATATGGGGGTGGCGCTGGAGATGGAGAAATAGTCACATGCTCAACTTGCTGGCAGACTGGATATGGGAGTAGCAGAAGAAAGGAATGTGGACATCTTTCCAGTGCCAGGCTTGAATAACTGCAGGGATGGTGACGACCACTGGGAAACACTGGGATGTGCAAAGGGGCTGTTTCAACTAGGTGTCATTCGAGATGCCTGGTAACCCTCCCGGCAGACAAAAAATAAGAGGCCGAATCCGACATGGTAGCCTGGTAGAAAAGCCAGGACTGGAAGGAGATTTGTCAGGGAAAGATGATACCAGCAGACTGCTCCCCACGCTCTTCACGACTCCTCTCAATTCTAACTCCTGAAACATGAGGATTACCGGCAGGGACGAGTACCTGGAAGACGTCTGGAGGAGGGACAGCCACCCACCTCGTTCTACTTCCAGCCGCCGCTGCTTCTCTCTCTCCTGATCCGCCTGCACTGCCTTCATGTGCTGTAACACCTGCAAAGAGAGGGGACACTGGTAAGTCTGACAGCGCACAGGTTTACTCAGGGGAATCTCAAGAGACAGCGCTCTTTGGGATTCCTGATCACCGCCCAGAGGCCTGCAAAGCTAATGCAGTTAATGTGACCTTTGGATCTTAACTTACTACACCAACCTCAGTTGCAGAAAAGTTCTGAACCCAGCTCACTACAGTTGTTTGGAAGTCTGTGAAACACAACGCCAACTGCAGTCTGTAAAAAGTCCTGCTGTGTACATTCTCTCCTGCATGATGTCATAGAACTCTCCCAGTACCTTTTTTTTTTTTTTTAAAGATTTATGCATACAAGTGGGGTACAGGCCAGAGGTGCAAGGGGTGAGAGGATTCACCAGAGACAGAGTAGGTAGCAGAACAGGCAGACTGACTGAAATACACTGCTGAGGGGAACAGTGGGCAAGCCAGGAGAGGTCTGCTGCGCCATGTGGGTAGCTCCCTAGCCAGGGATCTAACTCGTGCTGCAGTGGCTGCAGATAGCTTCATAGAGCTACGACTTAACCCCTTGTGCCACCTGGGAGGCCCTCCCAGTACCTTTTTCTAATGAGCAGGGACAGCATCTCCAAGATGCTTTGCTGACCTCCTTGATTTCCCTCGGGTCCCCCAGCTTCCCCTGTCCCCAGTCCTCAGACTCCTAAGTTTCCGAAGGGTATGGACTATTGTCCTGTCTGCAGGTAAGCTCAGAGCTTCACTAATTATAAGCACTCAGTACTTATAGTGATGGATTGATTCCCATTTCAAAAGGAAGAAAACCAAGATTCTGATAAGGTGACCTGTCCACTTCACAAGGTTAGAGAGCAGCACAGCTGGGAGGGCAAGTTTTCTGAGTTCCCAGACCAGAGCTGGCTCCACTCGCTTTCAGTGCAGAGGAAGGAGAGCTCTAAGAGAATGGGAAAGAGCCAGCTGGCCCAAATACCACAATTTGGCACCAAGCTCCTCAAATCTTTGTCCAACTATGATGACCTCTGTACCATTCACACAGATTCTTGCCATAAGCATGGTTAGGGGAGGAGGTAAAAGACTTGTGACCTTAGCAGGTGACCTAGCCTAAGCCAATTTTCTCATGTGGAAAACAGAGATAAGGTTTTCTCCGGCCTGTTGTGAAAAGTAACATAATCCCTGCCATTATATGGGCTCAGTAATACTGTTGCTTTTTAACTTTATCTTCTTTTCTGCATTAGTGTAAGAGAAGAAACCCAAACTGTTCTAAATTAATAGTTCAAACTGTGCTCACTACCATCCTAGATGACCTGCAGGACAGATGTGTATTCAGATGTAATGAATTTATTGGGTGGAAACTTCAGACATGCCTTCAGACATCATAAGAGCAGCAAAAGCATATCCCTCTAAGAACCTGGTTTAAAGTCACTAGAAACCCTGTCCTAACTAAGCCAGGCCTTAAATCTATGGGCACCTCTCTGGAAGGAGCTGGCCTTGCTCAAACAGATGGCTGCTCAATGAGCCGTGGCAGGATCGGGAAAGTCATGTACAATGGAGAGAGGTAGCTCAAGATCGAAGTCTCTTTCTCTCTCTGAACTCTGAATTCTAAATAAGCACCATTGGTTGGTGGTAGGGGGCACATAGCTGCCCAAATAAAGAGCTGGGAGGTATGAGAGCCGCCCCTTTTACCTTGGTTAGCACACCAGTGTTAGTTACTGAAAACCCAGCAAGTTCAGAAATGGGAGAGACTCCCATCTAATTTAGACCATGAGTCCCTGGAGGGGAGATTTTTTCTGCCTATCCCTATCTACCACATATAATAAGTATTTGATGAATACTGTGGACTAAAAAGCGACTTTTAATAGGTGCTTTTACTATGTGCCATGCTGACTGGGTACTCTGACTAACCCAGGCCTGCACAAAGTCAGAATGGTGAGATCTCAACTAACTCCCAGAGACAAGTGACCGCATTCTGGATGGCCAGGGCTCTCTGCTTCAACACCTTAAGCATGCTGGGGGCCAGCTGAAGTCGGCAGGGCACAGTGCCCCCTGAGGCTTTGGAATATACTTGTGATCACTAAAGACCTTTACACTCAATAAAAATTATTTTTGTGGGTAAAAACTGGGATATCAGCAATTTCATATGGTTCAACATATTTGTTGGGTGAATAAATGCCAGATGTCTGAGAAACGGAAGTGAAGCCTGCTTCCCAGGGTTATGAGGACGATGAGGCGAAACACACAGAGCGTGCAGGACAGAAGAAGAGTGCGTGGTGCTACTGTCCGTCTTCAGAACAGACGTCACTCCTAAAGCACCGAGTTTACAAAACAAGATTTCACCGGTCACTTGCACAGTTCCCAGATAAGGGGAAACTGCTGCCCTGGTGATGTGCCCTCACTGACTTTGTGCTTGGTTCCATCTAACAATGGGTGGCATGGATGGTAAGGCCATGTGAGAAGCTCTGGGATAATGACAGGAAAAGGCCATTACTCTCGAGGTTTACATGGAGACCCGTTGCACGCACATTTCATTCACACTCATTTTAGTATTCAGAGGGAAGTCTTTTTTTTTTTGTTTGTCATGTCCCCTAGACATAGTCATCTGGTGCCCTGCAGAAAAAGTAGCAACATGTTCTAAAGCTGGAGGGGAAAATGACTACAGTGGAGTTTTTGAGGGATGGATGCAGTGCTGTTTTCAAGAAGGAACCTGAGGTGTCTCAAGGATTTAGCAACGTTTGCAAGGTGTGCCTTCCACACTGGACTGAAACCAAAAGCTACATCTGCCCAGAGGAGGTGACTAGTGCTATAAACCTACAAATACTGACACCTTTCTCATCAAATTCCTACAATAACTCTGACTCAGGCCACAGCCCCTGACTTTCCTGTCCCACTGAAACAGGTGTTGGCAGCGTGCCTGATGGATCACGTGGCTGTGGTTTAAGACTGGAGGTACCTCAGCAGAGCAGGGACCGGATTGTTTTACAACTTGCCAGGTAAACATAGAAACAAAGGTCTCTTTGCTTGACAGGTTCATCAAAGACAGATCACTGGGACCTTAGTGCTTTCATAAACACAAAGCTACAGGTGCCCTGGGGGTGGGGAAAACAAGAGGAGGCTGAGACAAGTCCCAGGGGGTGTGCAAAGGAAACATTTCATGCTTACCTTGTTGGCGCACTGCTTACACTGCTTCTCGTCTAAGCAGTCACCTGCCACCTTGGCCAGGATTGGATCCAGGGGGTTGTCCTTCAGGTCCAGCCACTTCAGGTTCTAGAGATGGGCAGAGACTGGCTAAGACTCTAGTGGACAGAGAAGTCCCTCCAGGGGGACAAATGAGCAGGAAGCAACAAAGGCCCTCTGTGTGACAGCTGCAAGAAAAGTCATCTGAGGCAGTGCCAACGATGTGGCATTTCTGTCAGCCTTTCCCACAAACATGTCCCATCAGCCCCTGAGTGCTTGCCACAATGACCACGATACGCTGGTTTGTGAGTTGTTACCTTGAGTTGAGCAAAGCTGACAGGCAGGGTGACCAGCCTGTTGTTGAGGAGATCCAAGTGCTGGAGGTTGACCAGACGGCCAAAGTCAGCTGGCAGCTGCTGCAGCTTGTTCTTGCTCAGGTCCAGCTTTACCAGGTGTGTGAGGCCACAGAAATCCGACTAGGACCCAAAGGGAGAACACCTGAGCCTCGGGCTCACACACTTTGGTTAACAGACCAAGGAGCCCCACTCCTATGTGTAAATCTGGACTTGACCTTTTATACCAGCTATTCCAAGAGGAGTTCCAAGAACGAAGATGGAGCAAATGCTCACTGCTCCTAGTGTTAAGTAGTGAGGTGTGCATGTAAAGGAGCTGAATGCAAAAGGGGCACAACAGAAGAGTCTTCCTTCATCCTCAGATCTCCAACCAATCCATCCTCCACATTGCTACTGAGTGGTTAAGGACCTGCCTACCCCCCTCAAGTACCCTATGTTTACTTTTCATAGCAGCTGTCAAAACACAGCATGAGCACCCGTTCCCGTTAATCTCCACTCCCCTCCACGCCAGCACATGTTCACCGTCAGGCCTGTTGGTTGTCTTGCTGCCTTTCCCGCCCACTGTTCTGGCCACCTCATGCCTTGCCGTATCTATTGGACTCTTATGCTTTGTTCTTTGTGACCCCGGCACAGTGCTTAGCACAGGTGCTCATAAGTGTTCTCTGAGTGACTAACTGGCTGGCTAAGCGGGGTCTGTCCCACCCATGTCCTGGCTCTTCAGCACAGTTCAAAACATCCTTCTTGTCAATAAGTTTCTGCTCAGCACCATCTGAAGGGATGCTCAGCCTTAGCTAATGAGGCACTGCTGGTGCTATCAGGGGACTCTTTGGGGACTCCCTGGGGGACTTGCAAACACCAGTGGAGCTGCACTGCGGGGATAACAAACTGAGATTGGAAAGTGCACTTGGGGGTGCTGAGAAAGTGGACAGCAGGTGTCAGGTGCAAAGAAGTGCTACCCTTCTGTAATTAGACACAAAATACTCCCTGGAAGAAATGGGCTCTCAGATGCATTTTCAATGTTAGAAACTGTTCTTGATGAGCTGCAGGAAGAGGCTATAAACAATGAGTAAGGCCCAGGAGAATATTGAGAGGGGAAAGGACTAATGATCCAGAGAAGAAACTGTCAACTTCTGAGACTCAATCCCTGAGCTAGAGTCCAACAGAGTATGGCAAGGCATGAGGGCGACCAGACCAGAGGGTGGAAAAGGCAGAGATGACAACAAATTTAGGTCTGATACTGCTGTGGAGGAGAGACTAGCTATTACCCACAAGAAGTTAAAGGGCTAAATGACTTTAATGTCTAAGGTGGAGCAAAGGGAGAACTGGGGAGAAGCAGTGCAAGAAAAAAATCAAAAGAATTTAAACAGACTGGATGTGATGAGCAAAAAAAGCATCTCAAGTAATTCAAAGATTGGGAGGCTAATGATATGGTAATTCCATAAAGCCCTATTTTTTTCTTTTCCCCATCAAAAGATGCACAAACAGCTTTTACCTTGGAATGCAGAGCAACTTACAAAATGGTCCTTACTCTCTTTTATGCAAGAGGGAGGGAAACTATTTTTCAAAAGAACAAAATAGAGCAAGAAAAAACAGATGAACCCAGTAAATAACTCAGTCCGAATCCTGTTGATTTTGTTTTATGTGACCTGACTCTCCCACTGCTCTAAAGAATGAGGCCTGTACCTTGCTGCCCTTCCCACTGAGAATTGCCCCAACCCCAATACTCAGGTTTAGTTATAATCCATCTACAGCCTATCATGAAATACTGCCTATTACACAACTCTCACAAACAGGAAAAGCATGCAGGGTTCTAGATGGAATCCTACTTGCTTGCCAATCTTACCGGTAGAGTACTCAGTTTATTGCAGGACAAATCCAGCACGGTGGCCTTTGGGAGGGCAGCCTAGGAAAAGAATGAGAACAAAATGTCAAACCAACACATGGAACAGTTCAGTGATATATCCTAATGAAGCATTTTCCAAAGAAAGGTCCCACGATTAGGAAAGGCCTAATAAATAAATAAATAAATAAATAAAGGGACTAACGAATAATATTCCTGGGGAGGAAAAAATAAGCCAGTCAACCAGGAATCCCAGGAGAATACAAAGACAAGGGGTTTGGCTGTGGAACACACAAGAAAGAAAAACTCAGATTCTTAGAAATTCTCCACAGCATTTAACATTTTCCTAGCACCCCTCCTTATTGGGGCAGGGACCATGCCTGACAGAGTTTTCCGATATCCACATTGGCTGAACTGTGGCTCAGTGAATGAGTGAATGAATGAATGAATGAGTGATAGCTTGAGTGCAAATAGGCCCTCACAGTCCATCTCCACTTTCCCTGGTATTCTCCTTGGGGCAGTGCTGCACTGAGCAGATGCCTGGAGTGAACGGCTTTGGGCAGCAGTCCTAGGGTCAGGCTGAAATGAGGCCAGTCACCTTCCTTGGGTCAGGAAGGAGGCAACTCTTTAGTTAAGGAACCTGGGTCAACCTGCACTTTCCAATGGTCAGAAAGTCTGAAGAATGAAATTTGACACCTAAAAAAGTTTTAGATATTACAGTGGAAAGAACGCTACAATAGTAGCTATGCACGCATTAGCATTTGCTAACTACAAAGTATTAAATATTACAGTCTTATTTAATCATCATGACAACCTTATGAGATGGGCACCATCTCATCATTTTACAAGAGAGCAAGTCTAGGGATAAAGGTTAACTAGCCTGCCAAGGGCACTCAGCTGTAAGAGCTGGGATATGAACTGCGAAGGCCGCGCTAGCTTCCACACTGTACCGCCAAGGCTGGGGGAAGACTGGGCCAAGTGCCAAAGGCAAGTGTAATTGGTTAAAGGCAGTGATGAAAGTGCAGGGCATCCAAAAGGAGGCTAGTCTGTGGGTAGGAACCCGATAGGAAAAGAAGGGCTGTAAGATCCATCGCCACTTTGGCAACAAACTAGTTGTGGAATCTTGCCGGGCTCTCAGATCTCGGCTTTCTGGGGTGGGAGGGGGGGGTGGGAGTTGGGCAGAGGGGTTGGCTGCAGCCTCAGGGAGATTCCTACTGGTTTCAGATGACTTGGGAAGAAACCTTGCCAACCAAGCGGACTTCTCCCATTCAGGGAAGGACGCCTCAGGCCAGAGCAACCACTAAAAAGATTGCCGACTTCCTAGAATAGCCGGCTCTGGGCCACACCCAGGTCTACCCGAAGGCCTACTTTTCCACCAAGTCATTCATTCATTCGTTCATTCATTCTCTAAGGACAACTCTCAACCGCTCCAAAGGGTTCGGGCAAGGAGCTGAGCGCTGTGAAAGCTTCCTCAAATTGGGCTGGGGAGTCGGACGGATTCACTCCAGACCAGTAAAAAGCCCCAGGCCGGACAATCAGTTTCTCCCCATCTTCTGGAACCGCGCCAAAGTGACACGTGTACATCCAGGAAGAACACGGGGGCAGGACACCGCCTCCCTGGAGATTAAGCCCCACTCCCTCCCCCACCCGCACCCCCTTGGGATAAGACGTGGAAACTGAGGCATGGGAAAGGGGGCAGCCCCCGCGGGGGCCCGCGCCCGTCGTGGGCGGGCGCCCGGGCCTCGCGGGACAGCACTGACCAGCTCCCTGACGGGGACCTCATTCAGGTCGCTGAGGCTCAGGTCCAGCTCGTTGCCGTCCAGCTTGTCGCGGAGGCTCCCGCCCTTGCTACCGGCCTTGGTCATGGTGACGCCGGCAGAACGGATCCCGGCTCTGAGGCACCGACGGGCAGGGAACGGGCTGAAAACCTGCTCGTCGGTTCAGCTGACTCGCACCCAACCGACGACGCCTGTTTCCTCCGCCGCCGAAGGTGCGAGACCGCGGCTGCCCGTCCTCCTTCCCGCAGCACTCTGAGCCCCGCGCCCTGCTCCCACCGGTGCCGCCGCGACGACGACCACTTCCGTGTCCACGTCACCTTCCGCGACCACTGAGAAGGACTGGGCCAGAGCGGCCCGCACACGTCCGGGCGCGCCCTCTGGCGCCCACAGCGGCACACTGCACCCGCCGCCACAGCCGGAGAGGGCGGCTCAAGACTAGGAGCTCAGCTGTCCACCCAGCAAACCCCGGTGACCACCGCGGCTCGTCTACGGTCATCGGTCATCGGCTCTGGCAGCGCCAGGAGGCGAAAGCGCACGGGCCTAGGGCCAGAAGGCCTCAATTCGCATCCAAAACTGACCTCATCAGAACACTCCCGTTCTCCTGGAATAGGAGCAGAAATTGAGTAAGTTTCGAATTTGTTCCCTGTCCTTCCTTTATTAACAAGTCCCAAATCATCATCATCTGGAAAAATCAGTCTCTGAATCTCTCTTATCTCCTCCGCACTGGCGCAGCCATTGTCCAAGCCGCAGTCAGCGCTTGTCTGGATTACTCTGAGTCCCTCTCCTATCCATCCAACTCCACCCAGCTGCTCTGATGATTTTTGTTTAAATCTAGCAAAGTCTCTTCTCTGCCTAAAACTCTTCAAACCTCCAGCTGCCTCTAGGAAATGAACCATATTTCTTTCTACATTGGGCCCTGCTGAGTCTGTAGCCTCCTCACAAGCTCCAGTCACTCCCCCGCTGCCTAGGATGCTATATAGACTTCAAGCCTCCCTACCTTTCCCTTTTCTGGAGCCGTGCTGACGGATGGATGGATGGATGGATGGATGAATGAAACACTTTATCCACTCCAGACCCCTCAGTTTGTTCATCTTTGAAATGAGTATGTTACAGCTGATTTTAGACAATTGTAAAGACAAATAAAGTCAGTTCAATGGCCTACCCATTTAACAAACCACTGTGCACACCCCTCCCTGCAGCCCCCACATCTAGGCACTGTCTCCCCTTCTGGGAAATAGACAAGGGTAACTTGGTAGTAATACATTAGCGCTTGACAATCTCTAAAGCCCTTGGGCATCCATTTATTTTGATAAAATGCAGCAGGTCCTCAAATAACATTGTTTCCTTCAAAGTAATTTCCTTATCATGTTGATGCGGGGAGGGGGGGAAGGAGGGAGAAGAAAGTCCATTCTCAGCCAGGGCTGCTGTGTGTGGAGTTTACACATTTTTTTGGTGTCTGTGTGGATTTTCTCCTGATACTCTGGTTTACTCCCACAACCCAGAGATGTGCACTTGTACGTTAGGTCATTGGTGAGTCTGAATTGTCCCAGTCAGAGTGGGTGTGGGTGTGAGTGTGCCCTGCAATGAAACACAGGTGTCCTGTCCAAGTTTCCTGAGCTGCCCGCCATCAGCCACCCTGGACTGGAAGAGCTGGGTTGGAAAAATGAATGAATGAATAAACACAAAGGGGTGTTTAATATTAGAAGAGTTTGGGGGGAGTCATTATTTAGTGGTTAATGATGTTTTTGTGTCCAGAACTTAATTCTTGTTTATATCAATTACCTTATGGTAAAACTGGTTTTGCTTAAAGATCTATCAATAACATTAAGCAAGGACATACTATACATAGAGAGACTAGGAGGCACCTTCTATTACTAGCACCCCTTTGGAAAGAAAGAAACTTTAAAAAGGAGAAGTAACTTGTCCTTAGTCACATAGCTGGGGTTGGGGGAGCAGACCTGAATCTTTTGATTCCAGATCCTATTTCTTTTTCACTACATCCTATTTTCTCTACCACCAAGGAGCCTAAAGTCAAGGCTGATATTATATAAGGTACAAAGGATAGTGTCCTAATACATATAGATAAAATTTGTGTGGACGAGCAAAGCTGTGTGGGTGTACATTTGAGTGTGACTAACATGGGGGAGGTCATTCATTTTCTGTGTCTAGGGCTGTGATTTATTATATTATTTCTTTTTACTCACAACAGCCTTATAAGACAGATATTTTTTCAGTTTTATGGAGGAAATAATTAAGGCACAGAGAGGTCGACTGTTAATCTACTTAGCAGCAGCCTGGAAACAAGTGAAAGTATTCCAAACAAGGAGGGTCCTACCCAACAAGGCAGGGAAATGGAGCTTGGGAGGAAGAGAGAAATCAGAGAAGGCTTCACAGAGGAAGTAGCATTTAAATTGGGCTTTGAAGAATGAGTCCTTTTCAGACCGGCAGAGATATAGTCCAGGAGGACTGCAGAAAGAGAAATGAACTATTTAACTATAAACTATTTAACTGGAAACCCATAGCTTTGTGAGAAAGTGAAGTCTATCATCTGTTGAAAACTTTTTCCTTGGGAACAATAGACTGGAACACCCCCTGAACCAAATGCCACCTTGTGCCTTGATGTCTGAGGTTCTGTGAATTGCTGCCAAAGAGAACACAAGTATCAGAAATCCTAATGAAGCCAATGATCAAGACCAGGAGAGGATGGAAAAGCTTCCTGGAAAAACCTTGGCTCTTAGACCAGCATTGTCACTGCCCAATCTCATGCCACCCAGGCGTCTGTTTTTCCTTCTGCAGAATGGGAATCATTAAATGGGAAAGTGTGTCAAGGGCCCAGAGAGACTCTTATGAGAAAGGGCCAAGAAGCACCTTGTGGTCCAGGTTAGCCTTTCTAAGCATAGCAGAGGTTTGTCCCCATAACCGGAGGCAAATTTAAAATGCACTCCTCAGAGGAGCCCTTGAAGACTGGATCTCCCAGCGTAAGTCTCAGTGCAAATGATCTCTGTTAAAATAGTTGATTTATTTACATAGATTTACTTAAATACTTCTCATGAAGACAGATTTGTTCTTGTCAGTCAGTCCATCCCAATACAATCATTGGTATTTATTAACTAGCAATACAAATGTAAAGTGACTACAACTAGAAATCCCAATAGGGTTTTTGTTTTTTAGAGTGCCATGACCAGAAAATGGACCTTTGAGGGAAAAAAGGACCATTGCACAAAAATTGCCAAGAAAACATCATGAAATTAAAAAATAATATCAAAGGCCTGCTGAACCAGATATTAGACTTCATAATAAAGTCCAGAACAACAGGATAGCATCATCATAAGCAGATATCAGTGGAACCACAGAGAGTCTGAAAGCAGATCCAAATGTATATACAAATCCTTAATATATTATTAAGACTGCATTTAAAGACAAATCTATCAAAAGGAGAGTGGTAGAATAAATTAGAATGCATTTATACAATGGCAACTTCTGTGGAACATTATGCAGCCATTAAAAGAATAAGTAGAACTATATGTATTGACCTGGAAAAAATGTTTGTTGTATATGATCAAGTTAAAAGTGCAAGTCACTGAATAAGATGCATAGTGTGATCTCTCTTTCCAATATGAAATTTTTGACATAGGGCCTCCCTGGTCATGCAGGGGTTAAAGTCTCAGCACTATCAAGCTATGGGCAGCCACTGTAGCATGAGTTTGATCCTGGCCAGGATGCTGACCCACATGGCACAGCAGACCTCTCCTAGCTCCACTTCTGCTCCCCTCAGGAATGTATTTCAGTAGATCTGCCTGTTCTGCTCCCCACTCTGTCTCTGGTGAATCCTCTCATTCCCCCAACCCTGGCACCTCTGGCCTACACCCCACTTCTTGTATGCGTAAATAAATAAAATAAATCTTTATTAAAAAAAGAATTTTCATTAAAAAATTTTTGACATATATTCAGACATACAGAAAAAGTGCAAGCATAGAAGTAAGAATTCCCAGATTTTCCAACTACAGAAATCTATACAGATTTCTGAATTATTTTAGAGTATTCTGCAGACACAATGCCCCTTTATCTAAGTACATTGGTGTGTATCTCCCGAGTACATGGAAGTCTTTTATAAACCACAATACAATTATAAAAAAATCAACACAGTAACACTGATCAATGCTATCTAATTTATGGACTTATTCAGATTTCATCAATTGTCCAGCATGATCTCATTTTTTTGGGAAAAAGCATATAAAGGGTGGATGGAGAAACACATTTATTTATTTACATGTTTGTATGAGCCTTGGAGAGGTTTGGAAGCATAGCCACACTTTTAACCTTGCTTACCCTGAATCTTTTTTTTTTTTTTTTAAGATTTATTTATTTATACAAGCACTGGGTACAGTCAGAAACGTGGGAGGGTGAGAGAATTCACCAGAACCAGAGCGGGGAGCAGAGCAGGCAGGAGGACCGAAGTACACTGCTGAGGGGAGCAGCGGGTGGCAGGAGAGGTCTGCGCGCCTCCCCTGGTGGCCGGGGAGCAGCCGGGGATCGAACCGGCGCTGCAGAGGCTGCGGGCAGCTTCGCAACCCAGCGCTCAACCGCTGCGCCACCGGGGAGGCCCTTACCCTGAATCTTTGTTACAAGGTGTATGTATTATTTGTGATTAATTCCAGTCCTATCCATGGTGGGCTGCATACCGGCTCCCAAACATGTCTGTATCTTACTCCCTGGAATCTGCATGTTACCTTATATAGCAAGAGGAAATTTTTAGATGTGATTCAATTAAGGGTCTTGAGGTGGGAATATAGCCCAGGATTATCTGGGTGGACTTAAATATTGTCCCAAGAGCCTTTGTATGAATAGCAGAGTGATTGAGTGCAGAAGGGAAGGAGGCATTGTGCCCACGGAGGTGGAGATAGGGATGTGGCCACAAGCCAAGGAGCAAACATCTGGAGCCAACAGAAGCAAGAGAAGTCCAGCAACAACTCTCCCCAGGAGCCTCTAGAAAGAACCAGCTCTGCCAACACCTTGATATTAGTCCCATAAGACTCACCTCCAATTGCTGGCCTCCTGAACTGTCAAGGAATACATTTCTATTGTTTTTAAATCATTAAATTTGTGTCATTTATTCCAGCAGTAATAAGAAACTAACACACTGAAATAAACACGTAAATAAATACATAAAAATTTAAAGATTTTTAAAAGTAAGAAAGCAAAAAAAAAAAACCCAAAAAACCAACACATAGAGAAATGTCTCAGGACTCAGCACAGAACACCAGGAGAACTTTGGGACATGCCTAGGGTAGGCACCTGCCC